AAGTCATGGTTCAGAATGGCCGCAATGTGAAACAGCTTGGAGCCCTCAAATGCTACGATAATCGGATTGATTCTACCGAAATTTGCACCTTTATTTGGTGCAAGATGATGGGGAAGGAAGTCTGCTGTTGAACTTCAGAAGAACTATCAACTGTCCACTTGTCTGAAAGATGACCTCGAACGTCACCGTAGACCCTTCAATGTTCTGTCAAAATGTGCCACGGCTCATGAATACATTATTAGTGGCTTATCTTCGCTAATCTGCATCCAGCCTAGTAGATCATGCCTCCGCTCTCTCAGTTTGGCCTTCACGAGTTCTCTGAGGCTTCAGTCACAAACAAAATGCAACAATAAGATTCCTCGTATCATAAATAGACAGCACATGACGACTGAAGTTTGTACTGCATGCCGACCTTTTTCAACTTACCATTAATCTCTGTGCTGATCTGCACTCGTCCTTGTTTTGCGTAATGTGGATAGAGCACTCGTTGTGTACTTCGGGCTCACAATCATGCTGTGAACAGCTTTTCTAAGCATTCACTTGACTAAGCAGGAGAACGAACTACGCTGCCTCGGACGTGAGGAATTTGTGAGCACAGTACGACATCATCTTCGGATTTTCATCAATTATCTTTCCAATCTCGATCAGATACCTCAGCAATTAATGTCGAAAGCCAGGACATCTGCAACGGTGATGGATGCGCTGCGACGGAATGAGCAGGCAAGCGTTTGATCATTGGTGGATTCTGTTCGTGAGAGATCCTGGATCACGATAACAACACAAACTCGGCTCTGCTTCGAAAGCTTTAACGAAGAATTGATTATTTTTAGCAGTTGGAGTGTACTTTGCTTCGGAGCAGATTGCTGAGTGCAGTGGCTTCTTAAATGCCTTGAAATGATGATGCGACTCCCGCCAGTAGAAAGAATCCGAGAAGGATGCTCTGCGCGCTACAAATTGGAAAACTCAGCTAAGCAGTGCACAGTATCAAGACACTTCAGCAATCTTCACAATCTGCAGCGAGACATGTCTTTTGCACATGTCCTGTTTCAGTCAATCATGGGTAAGTAATACAATCACACGTACTGTAGTGCAGGTAAATCCTTCTTCTCCATTCTAGTCTTCTATAAGTGTACAGGACTTGTCTTGTGTGAGAACACTTCAAGAGATCTCTCCAGGACATCGAAGTTCTATCCAACCAATTCCGATGTCTTCCATATTGAAATGTACATGCTCTCGTATTCTGTTGAAATCTATGACAGCAAAGCTTGAAGTGTTCTCAAAACTCTGCAGACATCTTCTCTACAGTATTCATGGTTCCTGCAGCTGAGATCACTTAATTTTCATCCAGATGAAGGAACTTTTGATCTTAATGGGCAGTTGCAAGACGTCAGCCTTTTACTAGTAGCAGTTTATTTCATCTTCCCTTCTTTAAGTCCAGGACAAGCAATGTTGGTAGGTACGTTGGTTTTCGTGTGGCAGACGAATATTGATTGTCTCGTGAAACTCACTGCAATTTGACTGGAAATGGTTCTCCTTTCCTTTCGTTATTGTCAAAAATGATTGCTTATCAGTTGATTCATGCTGTAGGACTGTATCTAAAGTCTCGGTCATGAAATGACAATCAAAGTTTCCGTTTTCTTAAGCTATAGGAATGATAACATGGATTAATCTACTTTATAACATTATTATTCTCAATGGTTTACACCCACATAAGTTAACTAGTTTGAATTAAAAAAATTCCAATACAAAGAAATAAAATTGTATACAGATTAAGTGCAAAACTCAATTTATAAATCTCTATTCATTGAAATTGGAGAGCTTCTGTAATGATTTATTATTATTACTATTTAAACTGCATTTATTAAGATCAATATCTGAGTGTATTTTATATATAATATTGATGAATAAGATTATTATTCTTTTAATCATATATCATCAGCATAATCGTATGAAATAGTGATGTGTACTTATGATGCAGTTTTGGACAACAATTTACGATTGTATCATAAATTTTATTGGGAAACAATTACAAAACATTAACTTAATTTCTCTTTGTCAATAACATTTCAAAAACATATCGAGTTGGAGAAATGTGTTGGATTTTAATTTTTGTAGGTTTTTGAAAACAAAAAAATCTCAATTAAAATTATTTTGCTCGTAATAATCATATCATAATCCAATCAAAGCTTACAGATAAAATGAAGAGTAAACTTTTAACATAGTTCGATCCTAGGTTATTCACATTCATTTTCATTAACCTCAAATAGAAGGCGATAAGGTGATCTCTCTCTCTCTTTTAAGTAAATATTTTTTCACGTTCTACAATAAAGTTGGAAATGTAATCTAACAAAATTGCAGTCATCTAAGAACCTTCACAAGGTCTAAGCTTTATACGGACAAAAGAAAACTAAAATCTTCTTGTTTTACTCCACATTTGAGAAGAACCAGTGTTTTTTTCTTCTTTCAGATTTTAGTACAGTATGCAATTTTGTTTTAGTTGCCACTCACGTCTCGAGAAAAATGTATTCTATTTTTGTACAGTTTAAGAATTTATTTGTGTAGTTTAAAATAGTGATCTTTTCATGTAGAAGACATGTTATTGTGACTCTACGCGTAACACAATTCGAACGATGAAAATGGAGGTGAATGGGGATCTGCAGAAACTGAGGTTCTTAGAATGGGAACTCAGAGAGCTTAGATTCTAACTTTTTGTAACAGTAAAGTTGTATGAATTATTGATGCGTATTTTTGACATATCATGAGAAAAAGAACTAGAGCATAACATACAAGGTAAAATGCATAGAAATATTTTTCTTTTTTATATAGAATATATATATATATATATTTTATATAGAAAAGATCTCTTGAAGAGATATTTCTATTGCTCTACAAACATAATTGATTATGTATAAGATATTTTATTTCACGCTCGGTTGTTCACATTCTTTATGGATCTTTTGATTTGAAAATATAAGAAACCTTAGTTGTTGTATGATAAATTCTCACTATGATAGTATTGGTGGCTATCCATTTGGTTTGGTTTCATTCTTGTAGAGTAAATTACTACCATTTTGTAATCCACTTGGGAGTAGGAAAGAACAATCGACAAACCAACAACAAAATATCAGTCTAAGACTGTAGAAGAATAGAGTCATCGTTATCCTCCCGTCTTACTCAAAATTTGGCTTCTCTAACCTTTCCCAATTTTCTTGAACTAGTGCAAGGTTGTCCACTCCATTTATCGATGGCTTTATATCAGTTGAAAGTCCACTGGGTAGGGGACTCTCGGAAACTGAATCTATCACCGCGGAATACCAAATCATAGGGATGGGCACGTAGCCGGCTAGCCGTAGGCTAATCGGCTATCGGGTGAAAATGCAAACAACCGAAATATTCGATTGAAATGAATGTATCTTGGATAATTTCGGCCGAATCTAATGGAGATAATCGGCCAAAAACGTAAATTCGGCCCGAGTTTACGGTTAGTTTTCGGCCTCGGATAGAGGTGGCAATATTTATCGGCTAGCCGGCTAACAAAAAGTATTAGCCGACTAGCCATTAGCCGAGCCGTGCCCATCCCTACCAAATAACTTCCAAGTGGTGAGTCCGAATTGTTGCAAGGCTATGACTGTGAACCGACAGCGAACTCAATGTCCCCTACGGAAGCATGGATTTCGTGTTGGTATATGTCCAAACACATCTTGCACAACATATCCCAAAGTGGTCACTTGGTTTAAAATTCTCTTATCTTTGAGGGAGCACATAATCAGATCCCAAAACATAAGAAGAAATCAGACAACAAGAATAAAGATGGATTTTTAAGAAAACTAGTGGCTGATGAAAAGATGACATTTCAGAGGAAATAAGGCTGTGAATACCGAGGCCTGTCTTAGACAGGTAGGATATAAATGTATTATTGTGTCTAATAGTTACAGTTATATCATGGGTGCTTGTTTCGTGACATTTGGAAGAATTTCATTGTTCATTGAGAAATGTAATCTTATCCACATGGATTTACACACTTTCAGAAATATGACATGTACGGGTTTATTTGATTGGAAAGACAAGAGATGATGTGAAAGATGATGTGGGGATAGTTGCAGAAACAGCTGCAAAATATAATCCCTTGTAAGACATTTTGACCATACTATACAAATAGATCTCAATCACAACTCTCTAGATCATGTTCACTTGCGTTGATGAGGAATTAACAACTTCGACTCGAAAGCCAAGGAGGAACTTCAGGGCCCAAAATCTCAATTTGCCCTGATTTTGTTCGATGTCGAGGAATCCAAAGTCTTGCTGCCTCTGCCCCACCTCCCCAGGAACAAGTGCCTGGGATGGCCATGCCTGTCCCTCCATGTGCATGAGATGCGCCTCTCGTCGTGGGAAATCCTTGTGGCTGTGAAGCAAAATTCGATGTCCGAATGCCGAAGAATAACGAAGAATTGGAAACGAAGAAGTTGCCATGGAACAAGTGTGCATCGGGGACAATGGAAGTTGCTTCCCACGACATGATTGCTGCCGTAGGTGCCAAGCGGTCGGGCGGAGATGGAAGAGGTCAGCCGGGATCGGTGAAGATCCGCCATCATCTTTTTCGGGCCATGGGAAGCTGTGAAAAGAAATGGAGCACGTTTTCACCCCTTGCAGTAGAACAAATCGAGCAGAGCACGGTAACTTCGACAAACCATGGCCAAAAAGCAAAGGCAAGAGAGTCAAAGCGACGCGTTTTCACGAGGTAAGAAGCCGAGGTTCCGAGGCGTCGAGCAATTCGTCCTCCATTTAGGACAGTAGCGCCAAATAGGCTAGGCCATGGCCGAAGGAGGTCAGTGTCCAAGAAAACCACGTAAGAAGCAGGTCACATTTTATCCTGACAGGTTCAGAGATGGTTATCTCGGCCGGGCAAATCATGCAGCGCCCCGTGGGTATTGCTGGATAGATACCAAGTGGCAGCCAAGGGATATGCTCTAGTACCTTTGGCGGACGACCTCCCTCCCCTCGAGCAATCAGTTCGTTACTACACCTGCTCGAACCAACGAAGTCGAGAAGAAGACGAAGCTGTTCCCTCGCGCTGTGACGCCCACATTGCAGGTCAGTGTTTCAGTTCCAGTTTCCGTATTCCGTTTCTGTCACGTTCAAATTGTATGATCATTCCGTAGAAGAGAAGACAGAAGCCTGGCACGAGCTTCATCGTTTTGGAGTTCGTATGAGTTTGAATTCTGATGCCCCAGTCGAGTGCGATGAAATTGTGTTTCGTTGTTTTTTAAGCTGGCCTGCTTAGGCTTTGCAACCCTGCGGAATTGCCAGAGCTTTTGCTTCTTAATGAGTAAATGGCTAATGTGGATAGCAGACTTGTCATCAGAATGTCGGAGGTGACCCTAGCGGAGGCTTTTGCCATAGCTTTGTGCATAATTCAGTAGAAGGGGTCTCAGCGATGGCATTGTTTTGTTGAGCTGAGTTTTTCTCCTCTCCTTGATGTGACCGGCCCCGCAGAAGAGTGGGGAGATAAGAGTTGCAGCGTTTTGGACGTGCAATGCATGAAGAAGATGACCTGATTTCTGTCCGTCAATGTTGTGTATTACATCAGGACTGGGGGGAGATATGTCGGCATTGATGGGATCGGTGTCTGCTCTCGCCGGGAGCCGTCTCTGTTCAACAATTCCAAGCTGTGAAAGATCGTCCTGCCGACCACAATCAGCCCATAGGCCCTCCCTTGTGTTGTGTCAAACGGACAACGGCTTGTCGAAGGACACAGCTAGCGAATCTTCAAGAAGGTATGAACATTGTCGCATTGTGGCATGAATAACGCAGGACATGTTTTTCTCGCCCACAAATGTGTGTTAGATACAAAGTTTCTGTTAGGCACTCTGCTTGCGTACAATGATTTTCATCGTACATTTATGGTGGTATGCGAGAGACAGGCTGTGCTGATGGTCTCTGACGCAAGCTGGAAGAAGGGGAAATGTAGGTTAGCCTGCCAATTATGGAGCAGAGGAGGTCTGGATCAGATAGCTAGATCAGCAATTCCAGTCAGGCCGGACCCCACCGTGACCTTTTAATATCTGAATTAGTCATTTTTGTTGCAGCAGTGACCTTGCATTACACATATGTAGAATACTCGTGAGACTCCTGAACTATCTGTACAGAGTTTGAATCCTCCAAGAACGCTTATGAACATTGATTGAGGAATTGAACTTTGTTGCAGGTCAATTTTGCTTGCAACTGCCTCGGTAGCCGCTGCTGCTGTTGGTTTCGTGAACCAACCAGATGCACAGGCGAAGAGGAAACCTCCTCCAACTCCTGAAGAGAAGAGACCCGAGGATGATCCGAATCTGAGCGCTCTTGACGCCAAGAAATTGGCCAATGCAAGGCGAAAGGAAGCCATGAGGGCCATGGTGGAAGGCGCTAAGGCTAAAGCTAAAGAAGTGCAGGCAGTTGTCAAAGCTCCCTCATCGATGAACATCCAATCATCCAACTAGACTCTCACAGCAGGAGACTCCAATCCAATCACAGGGCTTGGCTTCTCTTGCTGTCTTCTACATGTAAAGATATTGTTTCTTATTTGTAAATTTGAGCAACATGATTCGTCTGATATCAATTCGAGGTCTGTCTGCAATTCAGATGTAGATTCTCCCTGTCGTTGTAAACTAATCCGTCTTTGCTGTAGGTTCTTCATGAGTCGTGATTTTGTCTGTGCCTCGTCACACTCTTCCTGTCGATGAGACAAATGAGTGCAGATATATCTGATCCACATGGATATGGTCTTTCTTCTATGAGATTCGGTCTGTTATGTTTGCTACACACCGTAGGTGTATTTTCCGCATGTCATCTTGTAAATCGGTGCTCACATCAGATGTAGAATTGGTCCTCTGTAATATTTGCTGTCACTAAGTTCCCAGAGTACATTCAGGGAAAACTTGATGAACCTTCTTGAAGCTGCCCAGTCTAATACACACGATTCGAACTGAGCGGATCCCGTGATTCTATCCAGGTCTTCACCTGACTCGGCCTTTAATTTCAATATTTACGCGCTTGTTGGAAACTGCTCTATTTTCCGTAAAGTCCACAGGTCAGCTTGGACTTCCACGTTCATACAAACACTGCCATCTTCAGAGCCTATTCTTGAGAAGTTAATCTTGTGAAAAGTCAGTCACTTTTTTGAGCTAGATGTCTCCTGACTGGGTCAAGAGGTTATGTTATCTCAGTGAGGTGCAATCCGTTCGAAAAGAAAATTGCGTCATCAAGGAACTAAACTAAAGGTGAAGTAAACAGTACATCGTCACAGTATCGATCATCGATCACGACCAGTGTCGGCTCCAAAGTTTACTTCCGGCCTTGGACTTATATGTGTGCGCCATTTTCGTTGCATGATGATCGTTCTCAAAAATCATAACATTTCGAGGCGTCACCGTTCCACGTGGAGCCGATGGCGCATCATCGATGTAATAGCTATCCTTACAGGAACTGACAAGAAGGTGGACCTTTGGGCAACTTGGTCTTTCTTTGTACCACATGTATGCCTCGACCCCATATACTCTTAAAGGAGAACCGTGAGTTTTTTCTAGTTGCTGTAAATCTATCCTCCGTCCTCGTTTTTGGTGTCAACTAGCACTGCTGTGGGAACTGTTTGTAAATGCACGCGATGTACAGAGGATACTCCCGTACCAAGTGCCTAAAAATTCGGCGATCGCAAGCTTTCTCACTTGCACAAATTGAAACATCACGAAATCCTTTTGACTGAAACTCTTGTCAGAGTCTCAGCCTGATTTGCTCGTTGACTCTGGAGTTAGTTCTATTCGAGTATAGTCACTACTGTTGGCTCTCGCGTGTGAGATGCATCAGTAGTGACCATGCGTGATGACAATACAAAGGCCGATTGTGAAAAGTGAAAGTCAACGTCATGAAGTAAGGAGATAACTGTGTGTAGAAGCATGTCTTTAGATACTGAGCAGCCAACCCCTTAGTGATGGTGATAACAGAAGTCTCTGAACTGATGAGCTGATGATTCAAATGTTCCGTTTTCACACTTGAATATCACGATTACCATCCCTAAAACATACAAAGGGAGGAGGTCGCGAGAGACCTCCTCCATTAATTTTGATAAGCTGTCAGGACACCTTGCACCAATGTGGGCCTTTATTCCAAACTTATTCCGGTAATGAACTACTGAACGCAGCGAGGGGAGAATTGCCCCTCCAATCCTGAAGATGTTTTTCTAGGAAACAATGTCTTCAATTGGCGGGCCTCAGTGAGTCTCACCAATCCGAATAAACAGAGCAGATTCTCTTCCAAGAAAGAACTGACTCTGCCATATCTCAGATGCAGACCTCTACTCTGTGAGAAACTGTACAACAATGAATAACTTTCACCAACGGACCTCTGCTGCTACAAGAGTGAGTGTTGAAATTTCACAGGTGTACAATTAGTTTGAGTGGATGATGAAATCCCATCATCTGTTTTTTCCTGACTGTCCAATTTCGATTCAACTTCAGTACACGAGGCCTTTGAAACTGGAGAATTAATCCACCCTCATGATTGAGTATGATCCTGTCCAAGTGCACCTGATGTCGTCCTATGCTTCAACATCAAAATGCCTCACCGATCTAGCTACCGCCAAGCCTGCAGGCTGAGCTGGTCGCAGAGATGCACCAGCTCTTGCAGACTGGAAAGATGTGTGTAGAAAAATGATAGACCTGCAATCTCTATAAGCTCCTCCACCTTCTCCAAGCTGCAGATGGCTTGATGTTTTACTGGGGTGGGTATGCTCCTTCGTGGGCACCTGAAGGATCACCCTGAATGTTTTGTCCCGGTTGCTTCGTGGGGCTAATAGCAGCGTATGCGGCTGGTTCTTGTGCCTGTGCCTGGGATGGAGGTTGATATGCCGCAAATTCTCGTTGCTGCTGGTACATTGGAGGGTATGCTTGAGAGGATTGTTGTTGCTGGTACACTGGAGGGTAACCAGTTGCTTGAGAAGGTTGTTGGTTCTGCTGCTGCACTGGAGGGTATCCTGTGGCTTGAGAAGGTGGTGGTTGTTGCTGCTGCTGCTGCACTGGAGGGTATCCCATTGCTGGAGAGGGCTCGTACTGCGGCTTGTTCTCGTAATGTAGTTGGATCGGAGGATGAGGCGGAGCAGGCATTGCCAGAACAACAGGATTTATCGATGGAAGTGTTGTTGTGGTGTTGACGATGATAGCACCCTTCGAATCACAGCAGCACCCGTAGACGCAGCAATACGTGCCGGCCACAATCCCGAAGATGATCAGATCCACCCCAAGTATTATGAAGAAGCCAATTGCACCCATAAGGCCCAGAATGAGAGCAACAACGGCAACGACCGCCATAACGATGAACGAAACGCCATACGCAATTTTGCAGCACGGCTGCCCCACGCAGCACCCGGCAGCATCTGATGGAGCCGCCGCCATAACTACTTGTGCTACTGGGGTCGGTGCAGCCGGTGGAGTTTGCTGAACAACAACCGGTGCAGGTGCAGGTGCTTCGTAAGAAAGGTGTACATGATGGCCCTGAGCACCCATTTTTTAGGAATAGTCGAATCCTACCACGAGCAGAAGAGCTAGCAACTTGAAATCTCCTCCGTGGACACTCTTTCTGACGCAATCCGTGGTGCTGCACAAGGGCACCAGATTGCATCAGACTGATTGAGCCTCAGCTTTTCAAGCATGGTTTTGTTCCTTCATGAATGGAACTTGCACCTGCCTTCAGATCCTGCGGTCAAATGACTGTGAGAAAAGTCAGCTGGGCTCTGGGAGCAGTGTTTTTCCAGACGAGGGAGTTCAACTCCAAGAGTGAACTCACTATTGTGCCAGCGCAGAGCACACTCAACGCACATGTTGAATTCTCGTCGGATTAGAGGGCATACAGTTTTGGCTACTGCTACGTTTTGAGTCTGAAAGAATCCAATGCCCAACTGCGTCCAAGAGATCTGTGGATGTCTGCAGTCTTCTGATCGACATCAATCAAGATGAGGACTCTCAATCGTTTTCGTAACCTTCAGAACAGTCCATCGTTCGGAGCAAAATTCTTGAGGTCTCCACAAGATCAAATTCTCGCAATGTTATTTACTTCCAACACAACACCATATAATCTTGTGAGACCTGGATAGACCTGTCGGTCGATCTGGGCTTGTTGTTCGTATGTGTACTTCGTCTGAATAAGGGCTGAGTGTTAGGGTGCACTATTTTGGTTGGTTTTAATCAAAAAGAACAGTGATGGGAACTATCAAGGGTTCTTTGAATGTTCACAGTCACTGGAAAAGTGTTCTTCATTTACGTCTTCTTTATGTTCTCAAAAGCTCGCATGGATTTCGTATCCACCGAAGCTGTCACACAGCATTAAAGAGGCTCTGCTTAGAGGGAGGTCACTATCCTTGGGTTCTCATTCTTTTTCTCTATCTCTGGTTTGAGCTAAGAACACAGCGCAATTAATGATTTTCAGGGACCCTCAGGGGTGTGGACTTGTAACGGATTCTTTTGCGCAAGCTCTTGTGACAAAAATTGATCATTTTAAAAACATCATCTTTCAGGGAAATATTATAGTGGTTTGTATTACATGAAGTTCACGTGATTATTTTACGTAGAATGTATATCATACAGTGATCTGCATGTGCTGGATGATTCGGTGTGAAATACATGTCATCGATAGTGGGCCCTCGTGATCTCACAGCGAGACATTGACATTTTAGTTCAATTGAATATAATCAATTCACTTTTTATTATTCACACATTGATATCACTGATTCGCGCATGCTGTCAAAGGTAGTCTATACTGTTTCTTTTGCTGGTGGATCATACTCGTATATACAGACGATTGTTTTGATGAGAGGCAAGTAAATGAGGAATGCGGATGGATATTGACATGAAAGGTGGACATCCTTCATTTCCTATTCATTTAGGGGAGGTCATAGACCTACATTGTGCTTAGAGCTTAAAACTCATGTGTTTCAAGAAGAAACTTGTACTCATTCAAAAATGTATAATGAGAATCTTCCCAGGGCATATATGATTATATGATTTCACCGTATTTCTCTAAACATTCGCAGCAGATGGTCATTAGCTACCAGACGTTGCTTTCCCTTATATGAAAAGCTTGGACTGATCACTAAAACTCATGTATGTGAATATTCACGTACACAATGAGTATCCCACTCTCGCTGACGCCCAATTTCCCTGTCAGGATTGCCCCCTCGTTTAACAAAATATTTCCTGTATTATTTCCTGTATTATGCATTTGACAAAGTTCTATTGCAATAGGCCTACATTAAAATTAGGCCTTAAAAAAATTAACATTAAATAGGCCTAAATTACAACGGCCTGGTGCACATACCTGCAAATTTACAGCCCCAACGGAGCTGCTGTCAAGAAGTTGTCATTTCGAAACTTTGAGTTTAGGGATTTGAGCATGAATCTTGCGGGGGCTATATCTTCTTGCTAGAGTGTCAACAGGAGCTGAGATTTGGTGGGCTTGTTCACAACGGTTGGGCGCACATACCTGCAAATTTACAGCCCCAACGGAGCTGATGTCAAGAAGTTGTCATTTCGAAACTTTGAGTTTAGGGATTTGAGCATGAATCTTGCGGGGGCCATATCTTCTTGCTGGAGTGTCAACAGGAGCTGAGATTTGATGGGCTTGTTCACAACGGACGGACGCACATACCTGCAAATTTTCAGCCCCAACGGAGCTGCTTTCAAGAAGTTGTCATTTCAAAACTTTGAGCTTGTGTAACATCTTGCAAAGTTGGGTTCATGATGGATTCTGAAAACAAACTTCTCAATCTTGTGCAATCGGTTTTGGAGGAATTGAAAGTGCTACGCCAAGAATTCAAGGCACAAAATTTTGCCTTGGCTGCTGCAAAGAATGAAATCAGGGAGTTGAAGATTTCTCACAAAAGTTTTGAGAAGATCATGCTCCAAATCTCTGGATCTGTTGAGGACATTCAAGACAAGGTTGGTTCTCAAGCTTCTACTGTTACTACTCCTGCTTTGCATGAAGTGGTTGAAACTCTAGAGTTGAAAATGAAGTCCTATGCTGAAGCTACCAAGTCTGCTCATATCTCTTTCTGTCAAGAGCAAGAGATTGAAAAGGCTAATCAATTTGCTCGTATGAAGAATGTAAGGATTTCGGGTCTACCTGAATCTGAGAAGGAAGAGGTGAAGAGTGTGGTCACCAAGTTTTTGACTGAAACACTTGATGTTCCTAATCCGGATTTGGCTCATGCTTATCGTATTGGCAACAAAGGCACACAACCTCGTGCCATTATTGTCAAGTTTGTAGATCAAGCTCAACGTGATATGACTTTAGCTAACAAGGCCATTCTCAAGGAACGGAGGATTTGGTTAGATCCAGATCTTACACCTCTTCAAGTTGAAGCAAGGAGGAAGGAGCTTGCAAAAGTCAAAGAAGCTCAAGATGCAGGTTTTGTTGCTTATCTACGTGATAGTCAAGCTATTATCACCAAGAGAAGGAGACAATCATCAACCTAGCAATCCAAGAGATTGAGGGTGTTGATGTGGAACATAAGAGGCCTATCTACAACTAAGTATGTGAATGCACATCCGATTTGGAAGATGGCGGACATCCTCAACATTGTTGAGACTTGGGAGCATGAAAGTAATGTTATTGGAGAGATACAAGGGTTTACTCTGGTGGGATCTACTTGGAACCATAGAAATCGACGAGCAGGAAGAGGCTTTGGAGGCATTGCTACTTTCATCAGATCTGAACTTCTTCCTATGATACATTTGGAAAGCCAAGATATTGGGAAACAATATCATTGGCTTCGTCTTGGATTGATTGGAGGATCTTACAGTTATTTGGCAGTTTGCTACTTTGCACCATTATCCATGCAGATCTACTCCACAAGCACTTGCAATCGAAGTCAACCATTCCATCGGCTCATAGGAGATGTTCTCAAATATCAAGACAAAGGTGAAGTTTTTCTTGTTGGAGACTTCAATGCCCGCATAAGTTCCGCTCAATTTACACAATTTGATAGTTCCTTGTCTTCTCACTCTTTTGAAGAAAGTAGAGATAGTTTGTGGTCTAGAGTCTCTTGTGATCCTTGTACAAATGATTTGACTGAGCATTTCTTGACTTTTGGAGCCACTTGTAATCTGAAAGTTCTCAATGGTGTTTCTTTCTTTCCCAACTCTCACTCCAATACATGTTTTTCCTCTACTGGTGTTAGCACTATAGATTATCTTTTGTCCTCTGCCACTAATAGTTCATTTATCTCAGCGTTTGATATTCTAGAGCCTCAACCAGAATCAGATCATACACCTCTTTTATTTACTCTTTTGTTGTCAACGTCAATCCCTCTCCCTACATGTCACTATGTTTCTACTTCCCCCAAGTTTTGTTTAGATGCTAGTAAGAAGCAACTTTATAGTGAACATTTCCAAGATCTCTTGACTTGTACTACTTGGAGCCTTGATCCACATACATCTAGTTTGCAACTAACTGAGTTGCTCCAAAACTCTGCTTCTAAGTTCTTTTTGAGACATAAGACCAGGAGAGCTAGAGGTCTTCCTTGCAATGGATGGTTTGACTTTGATTGCAAGCAAGCGAGGGCGAGATCACTTGATAAATCCTTGGATCTTCACAATCGGTTGATTATGACAAGACTTTACAAAGACTTGGTGAAGTCCAAGAAAAGAGCATTTTTGAGGCAGAAGCAAGAGTGCTTGACAAAGGAGCTCTTGGAGAATCCCAAATCCTTTTGGAGGCGGTTGGCAATACGATCTTCTAAACCTACTCTTGATCCCAAGTCTTTGATTTCTTTTGCTGAAAAGCTTTATTTCTTTCTCAATGTTGCATCTATGCCACATTGTGAAGGAAATCCAGGCTTATTTTCAGAAGTTGAAGTGATGACTCAACTCAGACAATTGGCAAATGGTAAATGTGAGGATTTGGATGGGCTTTACATTGAACTTCTCAAGTGGAGAGGAGATGCTATTGGACCTATACTCACGAAAGTGTTAGAGGATGCTGCTATTCATGGCTTTCCTTCATCTTGGTCTCTACGGAAGATTGTTCCTATTCACAAATCTGGGAGCAAGGCCTTGGTGACAAACTATCGCACTATCATGGTGGGTAGTATTTTTGCCAAGTTATTTGGCAA